GTTTTCCTAATAATCAGATTTTACCCATAGGTGAGATTTTTTTCAAGCTTACCGTATTCCAAACACTCGGTCTATCAAAAAGCCACCAAAGAAACACAAAACTACATTGGGCCAAGAATACCAGGCATAGAGCAGCATGAATTTCGTGGTATTCACCTGCATATCCTATATGGAAAGAAAATAAAACTATTTTTTTCCAAACAGTTAAGTTTAGCAACTAACAATGACAACATTCTTTCTGTGTAGGGTAGGAGTTTCTTCATCATTTGTGCTCACTAAGTGCTCTGAGAATCTCCTGAGGGCCATGGCCCCACCTGGGAACCCTGGGAAGCCCCTGAGTCCACATGCCATTTCAGAGGCTTCGTGGAGTCCAGGATCGATCAGCTCCCCCACTACAGGAGCACCTCCATCTGCATCTGCCTGTGTCTTCTCTATTCTTACTCCCCATAGACTACCTGTACTGGGGCTCCCCCCACATGGAAAAGGGGAATCCTAGCCTATTCCTACCCGCTCCCAACTTCTTCTTTTTTCCCTTTCATTCTAGAATGTGAAGGACCAATCCATGCATTTCTCCCTGCCCAAAAGCAAAAAACTTAGAAAGAAAAAAACTATCTAAATACAGGAGAAACTTTAAACATCAAACATAATTTTTTAAAACCAGACTAAAATACTGATATAAACAATACTCTGCAATCAGTACCCACATTTAATAAATGAAATAACAACAAAAACTTATTTAAGAGAGCAAAAGGCTATCTTACCAAATCATCTGTCATTCAGATAATTACACAATGCAAGAGTGAAATGCAGCAAAATCTGCTAATATTTTTCGGCAATATTGTAGAAACAGCACTTTATTTATCTAAGGTGTGAAACGACATCAAGTCATCAGTGCCGTAAATGAATTCCTTGTGGCCAGTCATTCCAACTCAAGAACACTCCTTGCTGCACAGATCTGGTGGCCAGAGATGTCAACACAGATTCATCAGACTGTTTCAGACTAGGCAACGTGCGACGGGACGACGCCTCCACAGCTAAACCTGCTCCAGAGTCAACGAAAGGAACAAAGGTGAAAAAGCAACTTACCCGCTTAAACTGACTCTGAAGCGCAGCAGGATTATCATAGCAAAAATAGCTGCCTAGAAAAAGGAAGAGCAAATCGTTTACAGTAATAATACTACCCATACACAAGTCTCAAGTTGCAATTACTACTCAAATGGTGATTTTAAATGTTTACATTAGGCTCTCGGGGCCTGACACCAGGGAAACATTTTGGACCACTTCCTTGTCCGCTAATATTTTCCAGGTTGTAGCCAAACACAAGGAGAGAAAACATGCCCGATGGTTTACAAATCATTAGTGAGGAAATACTGGGAACCTGGACGAAGCTAACCAACAACTAACTGTTCTTCCACCTGACTTGCATCATGCTGCATAACGTCTATTATTAGCATCCTCACGAAGCAGCTATACTTCCCCCTTATTTAAAGCTAGCAAAACACAAACGCTAAACATTTCACGGACACTCTCCTAGCAAAGGTACCTGAAGTCATCACTTATTTTGAGAGCAGAAAAATGGAGTTTAACTACTGTGACTAAACCAATATTTGAAACAAGAGTTGTAACTCTACAAATAGAACACTCAAGACCAAATAATTTAGCGAAGACACCACCAAGAATGAAGAAATGAAGACAAAAAAGAGGTGTAAAGGATTAAATTGAAACATAATAATAATGTCTGCTGGGGAGTAAGAAAGAAGTGGAGAGAGGTATGACATTCACGCGCTCAGATTTATTTCTAAAGCAATATAACTGACAGATTTTTGCAGGCCACAAGATAATACCGCCTCCATTTCTCCATTAACTCTCTCTAGAGTACATATCAGAAGCTACTGGTTCAAAACAAAGAAAAGCGTCACTAGAAAAGTATGAATCTGGTGTCTGAAACCCAGGCAGATAACTATAATTTACCAAAAATAATCTGCCTGCTGCCGTAGCGGCAATCTTAAGTGTTTTGTGTTGTTCTTGTTTTTCGTTCCTAAACCTAGAAATTTGTGATTCCTGTTTTAATCGTCATGAGAGATACCAATGTCATATTTTAAGGTTAATGGATGGGCATGATCTTTCCACAAAGGGGGCAGGGGGACAGAGAGAGCCGCCAAGAAACTAAAGCTCAAAGCATCCTTCATCCCTACTTATATATTCCATCACCAGCATAAAGTTATCACCATAGTATTTCTAAACCTACTGATTACACTGGTTCCAGTGAGCCCCCTGAAAAACTCGTTATTTTGACACCAAATACTGACATTAGCATGTCGCTGAAACACAGGCAGATGTTTTAAAAATTATCTCAGGAAACTGCCTTCATAGTCATCAGATTTCGTAACCGAAACCAAACACCGCCAAGCCTACCACAAGTCCAATCCAGAAAGATTGCTTCACAGTGGAGGAAAGGCAGAGGACACATCTACCCACTGAAGCCATCAGACAGACAGACTCCTACATTTCCCCAAGGAGGGTGACACACCTATGAAGGACTACCAAATTATTCATTCAAAAAAGAGGAGGAGACAGTTAAACTTTCCTGAATTCCTTCGGAACAAAGTGTCCTGAGAGAGGAACCTTGCCCATTCAGGGGCTCCTTCACGTCTACGGCCCCGGGCCCGAGTTGCTAGCCTCTAGGACTTCCTGGAGAGCAAAGGCGCGGGACAAACGCGCCCGGCTCGGTCCCCTGCCCCCACCTTCGGGACGCCGCTAGCTAGCACGTCCAAGGGTCGGGTGGGGTCGCGAAGGGAAAGGAAGGGAGCCCAGGAGCCGCAGCCAGAAGCTGCACGAAGGCCGCGTAGCCGCGGGCGCTCGGCGCGGCCCTCGCGCTCCCGGGGAGCCGCGAAGGCTCGGCTCCCAGCCCCCGGCCCGGCCGCCGGCTCACCGAAGCCCAGGAAGCACATCAGCAGCAGCACCAGCAGCCGGTGCGCCAGGCGGCCGGGGTCGCAGAGGGCCGGCAGCGCGCTGGGCGCGCCGGGGCCGCCCGCCAGCAGCGCCCGCGCCTCCTCCTCCTCCTCCTCCATCGAGCCGGCCGGGCACCGACGAGCGACAGCGGCCGGCCCAGGGCGGAGTGCGGTCACATGGCGGCGCGGCGCACGTGACGCCACGGGGGTCACGCGGGGCTACGCTCACGTGGGTGGCCGTGGGCACGTGGTGGGCGGGGCCGGGCCGGCGCGCAGCTGGCCGGGGCGGGCTGCGGGGCGGGGTTCCGCCGGGAGCGGAGCGGGCTCGGGTCCGGCCCCCGCGCGGTGCGGGGCGTCAGGACGCGGGCACGCGCGCCGCCTGCTCCTGCGCAGCCCCTTGGGGTCCTGGGTCGCGCTGGGTTAAGCGCCGTACTTACGCGTGCCGGGTGCTCGGACCTCGGAGGGTTCACGGTTTAGATGGAGACGTCGACAGGAACTGATCCTTTAAAAATAGTTTGATGAATGGATGAATGTGGCAAGAACAGCGGCTGAAATAAGCGCCAAATTCTATAGAAATGGCTGGGAAAGGGGGAACAGGTGCTCAGTTTAGCCAGCCTTGGGGGAGGGGGTGGGGGTGCTGGAGCTCCCTGAATTTGATAGCTAAACCAGGTTAGTTAAAATGAGCCAGTCACGGTGCCTCGTTAAGAGGGAGGGCCCTTCAGAGGGGATGGTAGGAGGGATAATAGAGATGCAGGCCTGAAACAGAGCTGGATGTGCGCGTGTTTGTATTGATCTGGGAAGGAGAGAGCAGAAACTCCAAACAGAAAACTAAAGAGAGAGTTGAAACACTAAACCTGGTCCGTGAGGAGCCATGCACGGATTTCCAGCAGGGTAGCAAAAATGCAAGATTGGTGTTTTTAAAAATTCAGTCTGGCCACGCAAGCCGATCTTCCGCTTTCTGGGTGCACCCAGGCTTTGCCAACATCATTTTGAGAGTGACAAGGCTGGAGGTTGAATAACCGTAAGGATTATTAGCAATTAGGAAGATAAGAGGTGGCAAGGGCCTGTGCTGAGGAAATAGGGATGGAGCAAAGGCGGCACAAGATTATAGGAAGTGAGATGGAGATGACTTTCTGAATAATAGTAGATGAGGTCTGAAAGAAAGGAAGGACTTGAAAATGTGCCCCAGGTTTTGTTACCTACCCTGATATTAGTTTACCCACATTAAACCCAGCATATATGGGGTTAAAACCAAAACACTCATTCCCTGCTTACTCTCTGGCTTCCTGGCTCCAGAACCCACTCTGCTCCATGGAGACAGTCACTGCCAAGGACAAGCCCCTGGATTCATTATCTCCTCCCGGCAAAGAGATACAGGCTGGTGGGAAACCTGCTGACCAGCAAGGTCCTGGGCTCCCTCCTCTCTGCAGGTGTCTCAAGGCCAAAGACAGGCACCGGGAAGGCTCCAACCAGCAAGGCCATATGCTCCCCCTCCCCTACTTAAAACCCCAATAAAAGCCCTTCCCTTTAGCTTTTCGGGGAGTCTGGGATTTCAGTGTTAGCTGCCCTCTCTCCTTGCTCAGCGCTGTGCAAAAATAAAATTCCTACATTCTTCTGCCACACCTGGTGTCAGAGATTGGCTTGCTGAGCAACGGGTGAGCGCACTCACTTCAGGTTCAGTATCAGTTTTCTAGTGTGAGCCCCCATAGAGATGAGAATATTGGAAGACTAGGGGAGAGGGCCAGGCGAGGCAGATCATTTGGAAGGCGTTGCGTTTGAGATGTCTGTGCCGTCTCCACTGTCCACCTCCCATTCTCTCTTCTCCACAGGAGGAGCCCCCAGTCTCGTGGAACTGTCTTACCAAGATGACTAACTCCATCTTCCCAATCACAGTGTTCACTTCCTTGTCCTCATCTGACTTGACTTCTCAGCATCAGTTGATAGAGTTGACAGCCCCTTCCTCATGGCCCCTTGATACTGCGCTTGCCTTGATTTCCTCCTACTTTACTGGGCTCATTTGCTGTCTCTTTTGTCAGCTCCTCCCCTTCTGCCTGAACTCTAAATGTTTAAGCGCCCAAGGCCCTTCCACTTATCTGGTCCCATAGCTTTAAACATCATCCCTATCTCTGTGCCATCGCTGTGTGCGGCTATTGAGCACTTTAAATGTGGCTAGTCCTAATTGAGATGTGCTGTAAGTATAAAATACACACCATATTTCAGAGACTTCGTATGAAAAAAATAAAATATCTTGTTAATTTTTACACTGATTACATGTTAAAATGATAATATTTACATATATTGGGTCAATGGAATATATCATAATTAATTTCACCTGCTTTTACTTTGCAATGTGGCTCCTAGAAAATTTTAAATTACGTATGTGGCTTACATTATATTTCTATTTATCAGTGCTGATTTATGTGCCAATGCCTCCAAAATACCTCCATTCCAGACTCCTTTTTTGAGCAATAAGACTCCTATTCCAACTGCCTATTTGACATCTCCACATGAATGACTATCAGGCATCTCAGACTGCACATAGCCAAAACGGAATCCTTGCACTGTCTCACGTGCTGGAGCTGTTCCTCGCTAAGTCTCTGCGGCGAAGCAGACGGCACAGCTCTCCACCAGCTACAGCAGTCGTCCTGGATGGCTTACTCACCTCATCTCCCACGTCTGCTCCACCTTTGGAGTTGTCTCATCAACTTTCCTCCCAAACATCTGCTGAATCCGTGCATGCTCTCCACCACTACTGTTCTTAACAGATTGGGATCAGCTGGACAGCTGCAACACCCCTTTACATTTTTCTATTTTGCTTGTTTTTAATGAGAAATACATATACCTGATATGACATTCAAACAGTACCAAAGAGAATAGAGCTCAAAGCAAGTCTTTTCTGCCTCCCTATGGCCAGTACTCTAGGGAAGTAATCACCTTTCTAGATTCTTCTGCATCCTTCCAGAGCTATCACACACAGCTTTTTTTCCTTTCAACCCAACAATATACCTAGAGATTGTCTTCATTTTTTTTTTTGACAGATGCAAAGGATTCTTTTGTGTGGGTGTATTATACATTATTTAGCAAGTCCCCCTACTGATGGACATTTAAGTTGTTTCCAAACTACTATACTGAGCACTGCACTGGATGGTCTGGACAATGGTCATTTCACACGTTGCCTTTACCTTTATGATAAATTCCTAAAAGTAACATTGCTAGGTCAAATAGGTATGCTTTTAAAATTTTGTTAGGTAGTGTCAAATTGTTCCCGTTAAAAATTGCACGAATCTACAGCCCCACCAACAGCGCTGGGAAGAACCTGTTCCCCACACCATCCCCGATCCAACTTGTTATCAGATTTTTGGTCTTTGCGAATCTAATAAGTGAAAAATGGCCATCATAGTGCAGTCTCAGTTTTCATTTCTATTATACAGAGTGAGGTTGACTCTCTTTATACAATTAATAGCCACTTATATTTTCTGGGAATTCTCTTCATGATCTTGCTCATGTTTTTCAGATGAGTCAGTGTCTGTCTCTTGTTGATGAAGTTGGCTCTTTGTCAATGGTGTGTGGGTTGCAAATATTTCTTTTGACTATCTTTGTGCTATGTTTTTCCGTATAGTTTTTTTAGTGTAAATGTATCCCTTTTTTCATAAATCAAGGGTTTGCTTCCCCCACAAGATTTTCAACAGCCTTACCTGGGTTCCCTACTTCCACTGTCGCATTTCTATGATGTGTTGCCCACACAGCTGTCAGAATGATCCTTTCAGTTTGGGATCTTTTTAGTTAGTTTTCTCAAAGGATGATGAGACAACCAGCCAATATCTGAACTGGCAAAGACAAATTGGATTTACTGTGTACTCCACTAAGCGGGGGCTGTGTGGGTAGGCACAGTCTCACCAAGCAGAGCAGGCTGTTGAGCATCTCTAGGGCTTTGGGAAATATGGAGTCAGGGGTAGGTGCATTTGGGAGGCAGAGGGCTGGACATCATCTATCTAATTGCACTAGCTGACACCGCCAGTGCCATGTTGGATAGCAGTGGAGATAGGGTACATTCTTGCCTTGGACCTGGGATGAGTACTAAACAAACACACACTTGGGAGAGAAGGGAACACTCTTCCTCACAGTGGAAAGCCAACTCATAAATGTAGAAGGCCTGATGAAGTAGAATGTCGCCATGTGGCGACCATGATGGTAATTGATTCAAGCAAGAATCATCAGTGGTTGCTAAAATCAGTGGTGAAAGTTTGAGGAGGGATAAGATATATACATAGTCTCAAAATATCTCTTCACAAGGCATTTGTTAATTATAAAGAGAAACATAGTGCAGAAACCTGGCACACACCACCTTAACCAAGTGATCAAATCAACATTAACCGGTATTGAGACAAACTGACGTCATGCGCCTCTTGATATTATGCTCTGAGATGAACTCACCCCTCTGTGGTATACCCACCCAAAGTTCATGCCTAAATCTAATTGTGAGGAAACATCAGACAAATCCAAGTTGAGGGACATTCTACAAAATTCCTCAAAAAAGTCAATGTCATAAAAGACTAAGGCACTGATCCTGATGACTGCAGGCTAAAGAGACATGACAACTGAATGCAGCACTTGAGCTCTAAGGAACACTGTTGGCGCAGTTGACACAATCTGAATACGGTTTATGATTAATTTGTACTCTATCAATAATAATTTTTTGATTTTGACTATTATGCTGTGGTTATGAAAGAGAAAATACTTCATTTTAGAAAACAGACACTGACTGAGAAATTCAGAAGCCAAGAGACAACATACTTGCATGCACCTTACTCTCAAATGGTTTAAAAAATGTGTGTATACACATGTGTATGTGTACAGACAGAGAGAAGGAACAAATGTAAAATGTTGACATGTGGGGGATCTGAGTACAGGACATATGGGAATTCTTTGTACCAGTTTTACAGCCTTTCTGTAAGTCCGAAATTATGTCCACCAGACTTTGACCACTGAGAGCCTTGCACATCTTTGTATCTCAAACACTAGTTCAGGGCCCAGCTTGAAAACCGCTTCAGTGAATGGCTGAGTCCCTTAAACCAGGAAAGAGTTGTACTAGCGAGTGGTGTAACAAGGAAAGCTTACTGCCATGGAAAAACCCATTCCTGCCTACACAGTAAACTTCCTCAGTCTAAGTGCATTGTCCTATTATTAGTCAA